TTTTGCCTAAAAAGCAAGTACTGTCCAAACCCGGTCATAGATATAGTCATAGATCCAGTCAAAGATGTATTTTAGTCATTTCTGGTTTAATTGAGATCCCTTCCCTTTATAACTCACTTATCCTCCGCCATTCCCAAGTCAAAGTCGTATATACTGACCCAATAGCATATCTTGAAAACTAGAGCCAATCAACAATTTTAAGCATCATTTTCTTTCTCAGTGACCCAGAATTAGTAAAGTTTGACTACATTTATTTCAGAAGCATTTTGGCTGTAGAGCAGTGTATTTTGCAATAGCTACTGCACAGTGGTATCTGATATATATCCATGTACTCTTATGGCCTACCATACCTTAGCATCTGAATGCTTGTAATGGTTATGGATGTAGTTGCACCTTTGACTCCTCTTTGAGGGTGCCTCTCCCCAAGGTGTTAGGCTTCTTTCATTCACCTGTCCTAGGATGGAATCCCCTGATTTTCCCCATTCTTAGACTGAGTCTTGGGCTACAGCCCCTTGTATATCAACCCTGATTACTCTACATGTGTGACTGGGCTTAGCACCCATAGCTTCCCTTCTGGAGCTATGACCAGTGACCAGAAAGCTTTCTTAAAATGCTGTTTAATCTCAACAGGAGGCACACAGCACAACATAAGAGAGCGGATTAAAACAATAAAATCGTCTATACCGGAGGTTCTCAAACTGTGCATCGGGACCCCAAAGTGGGTCAGGACCCTGTTTTAATGGGGTTGCCAGGGCTGGCATTAGATTTGCAGGGTCCAAGACCAAAGCCCAAGCCCAACCACCTGGGGTCAAAGCCTGGGGCAGTAGCCTTTGGGCTTCAGTTTTGGCCCCACCAGGCTTTGGAACCCTCGCTGCCCCCCCCCCACGCCCAGGGCAATGGGGTTCAGTCCTGGGGTCATATAGTAATTTTTGTTGTCAGAAGGGGGTCGTGGTGCAATGAAGTTTAAGAACCCCTTGTCTATACTCATATCTATCTTCCCTAAGACTTACTATTCCCTAAAGCAGAGTTCTCAACAGGGGGCCCATGAGCCCTTTCAGGGGGGCTGTGGGGCTCCATGGCTGAAACCCAGAGCCCAAGCCCCAGCGCCCCCCATGGGGCTGAAGCTGGGAGGTGTGGGGCTGAAGCCCCGATCCTCGGTGCACACTGCAGGGCTGAAGCCGGGAGGCGTGGGACCGAAGCCCCAAGCCTTGGTGCTCCCTGTGGGGCAGAAGCTCTGAGCCCATGCGCACAGCTGGGGACATGGGGGGCTTTTCCTCTCCTCCCCAAACTGCAGAGCAAGAGCATGGCAGTCCCGGGGGCAGTTCCACACCTCTCCCTTCTCTCCCTCCACCCCCCCCCCCCCACTTTTCTCTCCTTGCCCCCTGGCCAGGTCGGAGGCAGTGCAGGGCAGCTGCTGCTCTGGCTGGTGCCATGGAGCAAGGAACAGC